CAGACAAGCGACAAAATGGGTATATATGCCATCTTTCAGTGACAAATTATAGCCTTTACAGCATTTATATTCCATGATACATTATGTTTGGTGCCATCCTGGCGGCTTTTAAGTCGCTTTTTGCTGAACCTCAGGATATATATATATATATCATCTTTCGGAGACAAATTTTAGCCCTTACGGTATCTCTCTATTCTATTCCATTTGACGATACACTATGTGTAATGCCAACTTGACGGCTCTTCAATTGTTTTTTACTGATCTGCTTGAGGCTGCACTCCCGAAAAAATGGGTAGAAATACAATGTAACGGTGACAAATTACAGCCCTTGCAGTGTTTGTCTACACCATTTTTACTCAGTGATACACTTTGTTTGGTGTCATCATGGCGGCTGTTCAGTCGTATTTCGCTGGACATCTGGAGGATAGACAAGCGACAAAATGGGTATATATGCCATCTTTCAGCGACAAATTATAGCCTTTACAGCATTTTTCTACAGCATTTATATTCCTCCACAGCATTTATAGTCCGTGATACGTTATGTTTGGCGCAATTCTGATGGCTTTTCAGTCGTTTTTTGCTGAACCGATCCTGAGGATTGACAAGCGACAAAATGGGTATATATACCATCTTTCAACGACAAATTATAGCCTTTACAGCATTTATATTCCGTGATACATTGTGTTTGGCGCCTTCCTGGCGGCTCTTCAGTCGTATTTTGCTGATTATCTGGAGGATTGACATAGTGACAATATGGGTATATATACCATCTTTCAGCGACAAATTATAGCCTCCACAGCATTTATAGTCCGTGATACGTTATGTTTGGCGCAATTCTGATGGCTTTTCAGTCGTTTTTTGCTGAACCTCTGGAGGATTGACAAGCGACAAAATGGGTATATATACCATCTTTCAGCGAAAAATTATAGCCCTTACGGAATCTCTCTACCCTATTTGCTCTATACTATTTCCATTTTGAAATACACTGTCTAGTATCAGTTTGATATAAGCCTAGCACGTCGTCTATTTTTCAGTAACCCGGTGGAGCGACAGATTATTAGATTTAGTGACAAATTAGCGACAAATTATACATATACATATAACTTTGTTGTGTCAGCTTGATCATGACATCGTTCATGACGACCACCTGTATAACATTTATAACTAACGTAGGTAACTGAAATACAATTATAATGCAAGTATTTCTCAGAAATAATGCTTTTTGAATCTTTTGCCTTTTCTTCTTTATTATTAATCTTTTAAATATGTTGGCTGCTATCTGGTACCTACGTTCTTTTATCGACTTTTACGTAATAAAGCCAACCAAGTACACAAAGTGTCAACTTTTATTGAGCGGGAGTGTACCGTGATGGTTAACAATGTCCGAATATAAATTAGGGTGGCAAAAATAAATAAAAGGGGACCAAACGCGGAATCGATAAAAATTTTCGTGTGCATGTTCGTGTGTTTGAATGAATGTAAGTAACTATTTGTTTCGCAAGCAATGTGTGTATGTATGTATGTAGGTGTATATGTATTGAAATTGCATGGCCGCATTTTTACAAGCGAAAATTCTCCGGAGAATTTAGTTCGAATGAATTTTATATGACAGGGCAAATTGCCTTTCGGATGTGTCCCATCCCATTTTTCGTTTTTTCAGTTTTTTTCATTTTTTTTTTTGTTTTTTGTTTTAGTGATGTACACACGCCCGTAATTTCCTTTGCAAAAAATAACGTCCTTCTGTACATACGTACGTATGAATGTATGTACCGACAAAAAATTATCACCGTTTCCTTTGTAAGCATGCATGTTTCCATTCGAACGATGAACGGGTAAAAAAATTGAAAAAATAAAACCGACGCTAGAGCAAATGTCATCCGGCGTCTGTCGATGGCACAAATTCCGTATCCGATCATTTTCTATGCCGCCACGGGAAAAATATATTATCATCGATTGCAATATTTCTACGAAAATCATTTCGGGGGACCAAAAAGTTACTCGAGAACACAAATGACAACTTATGACAATAGTAAAGAGCAATTTATTGAAAGGTAGAGTGCTAAAATTGTTCTAACTGGTTTTACTAAGAAAAACTTTAAGAAGCAATGTTGCAATAAACCTATCGGGTTGTTCGGAAAGTCATTTCGTTTTTTCCCGACAGAGAATTTAATTGTATTCTTTTGCACCCAACTTCACATTTAAGCCGTATAATTTTTATATGCTTTGAGAGCTCATATAGCAAGGCTTGTGTGTGAAAAATTCCAATTAATTCTACGCAGTAGTTTTTGGTTGGTGCCCTTTTAAATATGGAGAGCGATAAGCAGCATTTTCGACATATCTTACTGTTTTACTACAGAAAGGGTAAAAATGCTGTTCAAGCCAGAAAGAAATTGACTGATGTGTATGGAGAAGGTGTGTTGACAGTACGCCAGTGCCAGAACTGGTTCGCTAAATTTCGATCCGGCAATTTTGATGTCGAAGATGCACCACGTTCGGGAAGGCCGGTTGAAGCTGATAAAGACGCGATAAAGGCATTAGTTGATGTGAACCGGCGAATAACAACACGTGAGATCGGATTGAGGTTAAATTTATCAAATTCAACAGTTTATGACCACTTGAAAGGCCTGGGATTATCCTCGAAGCTCGATGTATGGGTTCCCCATGTTCTCACAGAGAGAAATCTGTGTCGCCGCATTGACGTCTGCGATTCGCTTCTCAAACGTCACGAAAATGATCCGTTTTTGAAGCGCATCATCACTGGGGACGAAAAATGGGTTGTATACAACAACGTCAAACGCAAGAGGTCATGGAGCAAAAAAGATGAACCGGCTCAAACCATTTCCAAAGCCGATATTCACCAAAAAAAGGTGATGCTGTCTGTTTGGTGGGATTTTAAAGGAATCGTTTTTTTTGAGCTTTTACCGGATAACACAACGATTAATTCGGAAGTCTACTGTCATCAGCTGGACAAACTGAATGATGCACTTCAACAGAAAAGGTCAGAACTAATCAACAGGAAAGGTGTAGTGTTTCACCAAGACAACGCGAGACCTCACACAAGTTTGGTCACTCGCCAAAAGCTTTTACAGCTTGAATGGGATACAATGCTACACCCACCATATTCTCCAGACCTGGCACCATCGGATTATTATTTGTTCCGGTCACTCCAAAATTTTTTAGACGGTAAAACCTTCACCTCAAATGAGGAGGTCAAAAACCTCCTCGATCAGTTTTTTGCCAGCAAAGACCAAAAATTTTATGAGCGTGGAATTATGCTACTACCAGAAAGATGGCAAAAGGTGTTGGACCAGAACGGTCAATATATAATTTAATAAAGTATTTGTTTATTATACGAAAACTGTCTTTCATTTCCACAAAAAAAAACGAAATGACTTTCTGAACAACCCTATACATTTGTTTCTCAGTATTTTTTGTGATCTGTCTGGATCCTATATGCAAAAGATGCGCAATGTTTTATAGAAGTAAATCCGTTCAAAAAGTGATTCTGTATGGATTTTCCTATCCACGCCGCCTTTGATGATTGCATGTAATAGAATATCCCACTGTTTAGTTCTCTGCTCGTCACTAGTGTATAGGAACTTAATTTGGTTACATATACGTATACATAGGACGTAGGAATATTCTATTACATGCAATAATTAAAGGGCGGCATCATTTAAAAAATACGACATGGTATAGAACAATTTGTACAAATACCTTTTGAACCAACCTATACATTATGTTTTACTACAGCAAATACCACGAGATGGCGACATACCGCCTGTAACCTTATGTTTACATTGCTTTTGAACTACCTTGTACATTTATATTTTACTACAACAAATGCCGTAAGATGGCCCCACACCGCCTGTAGCCTTATATTTTTACATTACTTTTGAACCAACCTATACATTTACGTTGTACTACAGCAAATACCACAAGATGGTGACATACCCACTATAGCCTTATGTTATGTTTACATTACTCTTGAACCACCCTGTATATTTATATTTTACTACAACAAATGCCACAAGATGGCCCCACACTGCCTGTAGCCTTATATTTTTACATTAACTTTAAACCACCATACACATTTACCTTTTACTACAGCAAATACCACAAGATGGCGACATACCGTCTGTAGCCTTATATTATGTTTCCATTACTTTTGAACCACCCTATATATTTATATATTACTACAACAAATGCCACAAGATGGCCCCACACTGCCTGTAGCCTTATATTTTTACATTAACTTTAAACCATCCTATACATTTACGTTTTACTAAAGCAAATGTCACAAGATGGCCTCATACTGCCTGTAGCCTTATATTTTAAATTAATTTTGAATCACCCTATATATTTACGTTTTACTACAGCAATTGTCACAAGATGGCCTCATACTGCCTGTAGACTTATATTTTTACATTAATTTTGAAGCACCCTATACATTTACGTTTCACTACAGCAAATGCCACAAGATGGCGACATACTGCCTATAACCTTATAATATGTTCACATTACTTTTGAACCATCCTGAATATTTACCTTTTACTACTATAATGTATAAATTCCACAAGCGCTTTAAAATGTCATAGTGGTGTTTTTTTTGAAAGCCTTTTTGCATTTTAAGAGGTTTTTGTTTTTTTTTCTCTTACATTTATTAATTATTACAAAAACTTAAATGAGGATCACTATTATTCCAACTATTTCCAATGTTTTCCGACGAGGGTATGACAGCAACAACAATTTTTTCCCATTAATTTCGAATATATATATTTACAATTATTCATTTCATGCGTATAGTCAGATTTGAAAAATTCAGTCAGAAGGTCTTGAGCTAAGATAGGTAGATATTGTAAATTGTAATTTTGTTCATACCAATAGGACGTTATCAAAATTTTAAAAGAAATAGATAAATGAATACAAAAAGCGATAAAAAATTAACCAAATAATGGTCCATTTTGAGACAACAAGTAAATACTCAATATAAAACTTACCAAAAGGCCTCCACTCTCGCAGATTTTCGATTGGCTCCAAATTATCTGTAACAATAAAACAGAGTACGTTTTATATTTTTATCAAATGATAAACATTATTTCATTTATTTATTAAAATTAGAAAAATTAATAACTAATCCTAAAAGTAACCATCTTGTTATTAAAATTTAAGTAACTTAAATCATGCAAAGATTTACAATGATTTAAAATAAAACGATAGGATACAGTTTGAATCTTGGATTCTTTCTAATAATTGCATTTCTTATTAATTTTTTTTTAATGGTTTTTTGGTTATCGGCAAGATTATCTATTAAATGGTTTCCTCGTTTTTTTATTTCAACTATTCTTATTGCTAACGCTTCTTATACTTTTAACTAGACATTTATTTAAATATCCTCTTGGAACAACACTAGGAGAAATGCATTTCTGGCAGGTAATAAACAAAATCGATATGCATTTATGAAAAATCGTTATCAATCGATATCTTTAATTTTCAAATAATAAACAAATGCTTATTAATAGTAATATGCACTGTTAATAAAATACCTACGTGTCATATTGGTAGTTAAGTTTTTTAATTAGATCAAAACACTTTAATAACACTTTAAATGTAAAACATGATTACTAGACACTTTTTAAAAATGGACATATTTAAAACTGGTTGCTTAGTAACCAACGAACAAGTTGTTGAAAAATGAGGGTGGCGGCGTCAGACGCATCACAGCTGACGCCAGTACATAACCTATGTATATGTATATATGTCGTATACATCCATAGTGGACGACCACAAGAAAAGTTCCTAATCTACAGGTTGTTGTATGTTTTTTATTCCTCATGTTTCAACGTCAACAAGCCCGAAAAGAAACTACCAGATAAATGTCACGTCATAGACACCCACTAGTCTTCAGTAAAAGTTTCAAAACATGGGCGTCTAAGGCGTCTTATTTCCCTTACTTAAGTTCACCTAACAAAATAAATACAAAACAGTATAGTGGAAAACTTACCCCGTCAGATAAAAAACAACAATATGCGTTAGCAATTACGAATTCTGTTATTCACTATTATTTATAAACTTCACAAAAACACTAGTTTTGAGTATTAAGAAACGGTCAAGGAACCGCCGCAGTGCTGGAATGCAGTTTAAGCAGGTGGAGGGACGCGTCGTGTCGCGGCGGCCGTCGGAAATTGCGGCGCTGTCGTCGCGGCGCCCGCCACTTGTTGATCTCATTCAAAATTTGTTTCAGTATACCCTTTAAATACTGAAACATTGACACCTATTTTTGAAATCTAACCCATAACAACACCTTTGTTTTGCCCGCTATGCACTCGACACGTGAGTTTGACAAATCAACACGCGGTTTAAATTTGTAATATAAACATTGACGGCGACACTTCTAAGTTCTGGCGCTAATAAGTGCGTCTTTCTGCGATTGGCAACAGTATTCCCTACCTTACCGATTTCTAAAATGTGAGGTTAAGTCGTTCATTTGTTTATAATAGTTTGGAATGATATTTAGTTGATTTATTAATTACACATCCTAAAAAATTTTTTATAAATTATCAGTATTTTACGATTTGAAAATTAATAAAGTGGCTGATGGTGAATGCGTTCATAGAAAGCAAAACAAAACCTGAAAGTCAATTCTTCTCCTCAAAAGGTCACTTATGAGATATATTTTGATGGAAAAGCATAAATATTTAAGAAAACGTGCTATGCTAGGCTATTTGATAATTAATTAGTAACTTTCTGCTTAGACAGGGTAAGCATTTTTTGTTTCTTTTAGAACCCTAATGGTGTTTAGGTACTGATTAGATTTTGGCACGTTCTCATAAAATTATTTATGTTCTAATTGTAAGATATTTAGTTTCAAGTCAAGATGATTCAATGGATTAATTTTTTAATTTTATGAAATAAAGTCAACAGCATATTTTATAAGAATATCTGGAGTAATGCATTGGATTAATATCATCTTGATATTCATGAAAGGGTAGTGTTTTTATTGTAACCAAAAGTTAAATATTCTGTCAAGTACTTATATGTTCATTTACTGATTAACTTTGTCATTACAATTTTTTATGATTTAATATTAGATGTGTTAAACAATCTATTAGTATACATAAGTAACAATTTATATATGTTTAGATCGAAATTTTTATTTAAAAGTTTGGGTACAAAATTTGATACATAATAATTAAATAACATATGCCCATCAAACTACAATTACATACCTCTAATAGTGTTTATCATATATATTTGTTTTATACAATAACAATACTACTTAATTATGTATACCTTCGTCTTTTATGTAAAATATAGTTGTAACTACTAATAAACGTTTAAAAGTTAATACTTTCTTTTATTGATACCAAGTACCTACCAATTAAAATTTCTTTTTACGTTTAATTATCAGAAAATAAAACAAATAATAATTCATAATAAACAAAAAAGTAACTATTTAAAAAAATGAATTGATAAAAGGCAAGAAGGTATTTTATAAAAGCTTAAAATTTCTTCTAAATGCAAAATTAATAACACATTCATTCAAGTTTCCCGAAAATATATAAAATTAACCACAAATCTTAATTTTTAGACAAATCATAAATACCGTGGAATAACAGAATGCTACTAAACTAACTCCATTTTAATTTTAATAAAAAATTAGCCATTGTCAGAATGCAACCCTCAAGTTATTCGAAGAAAGTTTAGAAATTCAGGGAATAAATTACTGTTCATCCTTATCTTTTGCTCCGTGTTTTAAAATGCGAGTGAATTCAACATAATCAAAAAGACCATTTTTAATGGGAGCCTCACGATACATTTCATCAACCTCATCATCAGTAAAACGGTCTCCCATTGTAGTTAAAAGTTCTCTTAAGCGCTCTTCATTGATAATTCCATTATTCTCTTCATCAAAACAACCAAAAGCATTTTTAATTACATCTTCAGGGTCTGTGCCTTGCAAACGTTCACCAAATAGAGTCAAGAACATGGTGAAATTTATGGGACCAGGAGCCTCCATCATCATAGTGTCCAAATAATCATCAGTGGGATTTTTACCTATAGGAAAATCATTGACATAGGTACATTAAAATGTATTTGTTTATGAAATTGGGGATGACATATAAACAGAATTTATAAACCAATAACATGCTAAGTTAATTAAATAGCAACGTATGTAAATACAAACTTACCTAAAGACGCAAGCATGTCATGAAGGTCTTCCTTATCAATAAATCCATCATGATTTTGGTCAATCATATTAAAAGCTTCTTTAAACTCTGCTATTTGAGCTTGATCAAACATAGCAAAAACATTGGAAGTAGCTCGTTGGGCCCTTTTTTTTGAGGTTCCACGACGACTAACAGTTTTTCGTGACGACATTTTGCTAATAACAATAATAACAACATAGTATTATTTCTACTTTGTTTTCTCATTAATCAATGAGGTAAATGTGTCTATAATAAAATAAATATAATTTAAATATAACAAAAAAAAAATACTGAACCAATGTTAATATAAACAGCAAATTCATTTATCACCTATAATTAGACACAAAAGATGAAAAGTTCAATGTACAGAAGAATTTTTTGTAACATTGATAAGTTCTTAATGTAAAAATAACAAACATTTTACTAAAACTTACCCTTGCAGTATTATTTATAGCAGAAATAAAATATTTAATATTTAACAAAAAATCACGAACAATAACGACTAAAACAACGATTTCACTGTACTATTTAGTATGAATCAGAGGAACATCTTTTTGGTTATCCCAATTTATGACATTTCACCACACCTTTCCACTATCCAACCAATAAGAGTGTAGTTTTAAAGCGGTATATTTAAAAATAAGTTAACGTTTTAACTGAAATTTTGAGTTTTTTCATTCATAAAGGAGTGAATTTTAACAAAATATAAGTCTATTAATAGTTATTTGTTGAACGTTGTGGTAATATTGGGATTTTTTAAAGAAAAACTCTGACATATGTGTAATTAGTTCACAAAGAACGTGGATTAATACATAGACGTGCCATATAAAATGATAACGAATATTAAAACATTAATGGAAAATAATACAATACAGAGTAGAGAATTATAACGCATTATTAATACCTTTTAAATAATAATTCCACAAACGTAAGCTACAATTTTTATCGTAAATATGTAACTTTTTACGTTTGTAGACTACATTAAACGCTACCACTGCTTTTTATTCCTAAACTGCAATTAAATTTTGTTTGAATTGAGGTCATTTTACAGCATGACCAAAAATGGTAAAACATTCTTGCAATAATTTTTTGTTGACCATATGCATGATATAATATACATATGTACGTATTACATCACGCAAAAAAATGTATGAGAAAAATTTTAATTTATTTTTGTGGAATCTATCTTGGAAATTAAATAAAAATTGTTTAATTGGAGAAAACAAAGATGATTTTTTTTACTGATTATTGGTATCTACACTATTTAATTTGTTTTGTCAATTAATGAATTTTTTCCTTAAAATTTTTCTCTAATTGAAACATATGGCGTCATCTAACGCATAAGTGCCAAGTTGAGGTAAAAATACGAACTTACACTAAAGAAATTTAACTTGCTTTCACTGATTTCAGTTTCTTGGTTTACATACTGAGCGCTAGATGACACCCCCTTCTTTTTAAATTAAAGTGTTCTGAATTAATCAGCATATTCTTTTAAATTTTTAGTTTTTTTATTATTTAATATAGACTTGTTGGAAAGAGGACATGAAGCGTAATTTCAGAGATTGGGGTGTCAATGAAAAATGAGCTCGTGAAAAGGGTAAATTGTACTTTGAGAACTTTTGGGCAGAAAATACTCACCCATGGTTCGCCAATTTTAAATTCCGCAGAAAAAGTATTGTTTTCATTAATAGAATGAGGTGCAATCACACCTGTCTCAATGAAAGTTTATATAAAATTAAAGTGGTTCAGTCACCGCTTTGTGGTTGTGGTAATTCAATAGAAACAATTAATCATGTTCTCTTCGAATGCATGTGGTACGAGAATGTACGTAAAGAGTTATACAAAAAATTGTTCAAGTTAAGGTTTCCACCTTATTGTATGGAATCGTTAGTAAGTGAGATGAACCCTCTGGTGATCACATGCATTTCAAGGTTTATAAATAAAAATAATATAATAAATAAAAAATAAATACAAATATTTGATGTTCTTTATATGTTATTTAAGCTTAAGTTTTTGCTGTTTTTTTTTCTTGTTGGCCAAATGTGCCTAGGGCTCCAGCCAGTGTACATTTTCGTTTTGTAATAAAAAAAAGGATATGAATTAATCAGCATATATTATATTTTCAATTTTTTATTTTTTAATTATTATGTGCGTATTTTTGTATTTAGGCCATTAAACCTGTTTCATTTATCAAATAAATGAAGAAATAAATAAGAAATAAACAAACTTTTATTATTAACTAAAACATCCGTATTTGACTCAATATTTACTGTTCCATTTATTGGATTAAATATTGTTTATATAACAATAAAATCAATAATTTTACAATGTATGAATATAATATACAAACATTTCTAATCCAATGTATTTGTAACGCATAAATAAACTAAACTACTGAACTGGGGAAGTTCATTGTTTTGAAGGTAAATATATTGGTTGAAAATTAACATTTTAGGTTGAAGGTTTATCCGAAAATTTAGATAAAAATGTTATTGGAAGAATGAGTAATAGCGATATTGTAGGTACTGATGGCGAACAAAAATTTGTAGATAAAAATTTAGAATATTTTATAGAGGATTTTCTTCAGAAGAAAAGTGGTTCTGATATGCGTTTTCTTCGTGGAAAATTTTGGACTTACTGGGAAGTTGATTATGACGTGAATTAATTTTGCTATTGTTATCGAAGAAGAAAGAGAAATGCCTGCCGAAGTAAGCCAATAAACTGTTTAAAAATGTTTTTAATAACAAAAATGTAAAATTTAACCGTGTAAGTCATATGAAAATCCTGTGGTAAAAAAAATCAGAAATAAGGATTTGAAATTTTGACTTTCGAATCGTAAATCGAAATTTGGATTTGCAACAGAAAATTTCGACTTTTAACTAAATAGCGGTTGAAATAAACTTAATCTAATTCAACCCTAACCTACCCTAAGGTAATTGAATCGCGGAGAACAACCATCATAACACTGATGGGTAACATTACAATCAGCTGAACTGTTATCATCGGAAACTGCGATCGATATCTTCAGTTGTATTGCGTTGATAACATGGGCGCTGCCGAACTTCGAGGTATGGCTTTCGCTCACATTGTCAACACATACCACCGAAGATGTCAGCCGCAATTGCCGACGAAACATCTGGGCTTAACAGTTTATTTAGAGTGCGACTTTTCAGTTTCAATCATAATTCTTCCGTATGGATTTCGGTCGTGAAAGCCCTTATGTTGTTGTACTGATGACTCATTACACTACGTCGAAATTTCGAGTAGTAATTTTAAATTTCTAGATATAACTCGAAATTTTCAGTTGTAGCTCGAAATTTTGAGTTGCAACTTGAAATTTCGACTTTTCACGCCTGGAGCTAATAGTTTATTTAGATTACGGCTCTTCGGGCTAAATAATATTTTTTTTCATCAGTACTGTGACGATTGTTGTCTGCAATTCAATTGCCTCAGTTTAGGTTAGGATTGGATTAAATATAAAAGCATTTACTTTGTTCGTGTTGTCTATATTTACCCTAACTATATGAACCTAACCTAACCTAACCTAATTGAATTTTTTAAAGTGAAACTTTTATTAGATCGCCTCAATCTTTTTCGTCCATCTATCGCATGTCGCATTACAGCTGGCAGCGGAGTAGGGGTAAAACTGAAAGGCGTTTGGTAGGACAGCCAAGACCAATATGGCATTTATATTCTCACTCATTCGTGCAAGTGCATGACAATTACATTTATAGACTGTGAACTCAAAGCGAAGATGAAATTGTTGATAGAATAACTGAAGTTCAAAATGATTCAATGATATAAACAAATATTGTTCTCAGTTTTTAACTTGCGTCTATCATCTGAATGATTGCATTTATTATTTATTCCGTACTCTCATACGAAGATTGATATTAAAATTTATGGTTGGATATCTTGCCTACTATTGATTTCCCAGCATCATTCCCATTTTCCAATCATTAAGATATGATTAAGAACGCGATTTTAATTTGAATACCCTAAATCGAATAATTTTC